CATGCCAAACGAGATCCTGAAAGTAGAAACCAGCTACGCTTATCAGCCAAGACTCTAAATATGTAATCATTGGAAGTAAAAGCTGAAGATTTGGACATCCTACATAAAGGTGGTGAATTAGAAGAAAGAGCAGGAGGGTGGGTTTCATTTACAGGGAAAACCAACGCTCACAGATTGAGTTGATTGGGAAATATCTATTTGGTGAAATATTCTTGAGTTACCATTGATAACATCAAAACAAATACCATTGAGAAGTTCCAGGAGTGAAAAGTTGCACATAAGAGTTACAGGAGAGAAAAAGGTGCACATAAGACCATGGTACTTTCCTAATGAAGGACATAAAACCTTTCCTGTCTCTAAATATTATGTTCATATTATCACTTTCTTATTTTTTAAATATTGATGTGTATCATCTTTATCTCTTTCTATGATATTCATGCAATTACACCCTTAATCCATTTGTATATATGTCTCACTCAAAACTTGTAGCCCAAAAGAACCGACACGAGAGGTCACAAAGATGTTAGTGCTGTTGGACTCTGCAATTAACTTCTGAAAAATATCAAATGATACTGCATTTTTTTTGGGTTAATGTTGTTTATATAACATTAATTCATATTGTTCAAAATTAACATCTTGACAAATAAAAATTTAATATTTATCTTAACAAAAAAGTTTGTGTTCAAATGTTTTCCTATGTGTATGAATTTGATGTTATGCAGACATCCTCAATGTTTTCCTTGTGAAGCTGATGTTGTACACAAACATCCACAATACAACGCCTTGTGTCCGCCCAATGCGAGTCTTTACAGCATGTTCTGTCCTCCCTCACTCACTCACTCACCTACCTGTTCCCCATGAAACTCACATTCTACCATTCCATATTGCTGCAAAGCAACCACGTTTAACTTGGCAATTTCTATTGGTTCTGAAAACCAAAAAAGAAAGTACACATTCTACCATTCCATATTGTTGCAAAGCAACCACATTTAACTTTGCAATTTCTATTGGTTCTGAAAACCAAAGAAGAAAGTACGCCCTGTTGATATAAATTCTACCAATCAAATCGTTCAAGCTTTCTGGTTAATACATTCAGCCCCCTAATATTATTCAAAATAAGAAAACAAAGTTAGAAAATTATACAGCAATCATGCCCATTTATTTGTGAAAGGCATTCATTATGAAGCATCATTATGAAGGGCCATGGGAGCCACCAAACATAGTGTCACTTCATCTCAATGGCATCGGATTGCACCTACTACATGATATGCACACCATTGGCTTTGGGAGTTCATAACGACGCACAGAGCATAATCACATGAAGGCTTCCTCTTTGTCGGGCACGTTAATTATTAGTTTCCTTTTTTTTCAAATTTTAAAACCCTCGGCATCATTTTTTAGGCCCTAAACAAAAGTGGTTTTATTTTGAAATCGTTCAGAAAGATCTCAAAAAAGAAACAGAACTGATACCTATGTCTAGCGATTTCGCCTAGAAGTCTGAGATCAACATTTAGGCATACCTCATCAATCAACCCATATTTTTATTTTTACGAATGGCAGCAGTCCAAAGAGATTTGTCCATATCATAAGATGAGAGGCATGGACTCGGAGCCAAAGCACCAAAGCATAAAAACAATTATATAGATGGTGCTATTACATATATAAGTTCAATTATCAAAATCAAACTAAAATATCCTAAGGAACACAACATTAGAAATAGAAATAGAAATAAAAAAGAAAATTAGAAAAAAGAAAAAAGAACACAACATTGGAAATGTAAAATAAAATAAACTAAGGCAATAACAAAAAATAAGGGACCGATTACTAAAATTAAAATAAAAAAATAAAAATAAAACAAAAAAGAAAAGAAAAAAGAAACTAAAATGCAAAGAAAATGAAAAAGGATAAAAAACAAAAGAAAAATAAGATGACATCAACCCACGCCCGATCTACAAAAGCTCATACCAGATCTTATGCCACTACAAAGCGCAAGACTGACCTAAAAATCCAAAACATCTATAGCCCCAATCTCATCTTCTCGATATTCTCATTCACATCTTCAAGAACACGAGAAAACGCATTCTCGTGCCTCTTTCAATACCTCTTTCAGCATCTACAGGGAATCTTTCAATTTCATCTTCAACCCCCGGAAAATCTTCATCCAAGTAACCTAACCCTAAGGGTGTGATTGGATATGGATTTGATTAGTTTTTTATTGGTTTTTTTGTTACAACAACAACAACATAGCCTTTTAGTCCCAAGCAAGTTGGGGTAGACTAGATGAAACTCAAGAGAATCAATGGTAAGAGAAACACAAAAAAGGCTCAAAACAAAAGGAATAGATTGGAGCAAAAGAGAAAGGAGCAAAAGTCACGGTTCTGGCATGTTGATTGCTAGTCTCCAAACGCTCCTATCCACCGCTAAATCCTTGGAGGTATTCCAATCTTTAAGGTCTCTCTTAACCGACTCTTCCCAAGTGAGTTTACGCCGACCTCTACCTCTCTTTACATCATCGACCCGCAGGCGTAGGTGCATCAGGAGGCCTCTGTTGGATATGTCCGATCCACCTCAGTCGATGTTGAACCAATTTCTCCTCAATTGGAGCCACTCCGACCCTATCTCGAATATCCTCATTCCAGATTCTATCCCTTCTTGTGTGCCCGCAAAACCAACGCAACATACGCATCTCTGCTACAACTATTACACTTAGTTGTTGGACATGTTGCCTTTTTGTAGGCCAACATTCAGCACCGTATAGCATCGTCGGGCGAATCACCGTCCTATAGAACTTACCTATTAGCCTTTGTGGCACCCTCTTATCACAGAGAACGTCCGAAACTTGATGCCATTTCAACCAACTGGCTGCAATTTTATGCCTAACATCTTCATCAATGTTGTCATCCTTTTGTAACATCGATCTTAAATACCGGAAAGTCTCCTTCTTGGCCACCACTTGCCCGTCAAGGCTAATGTCACCATCATCATGTGTAGCCATGCTGAAAGTGCGCGTCATGTACTCGGTCTTCGTCCTACTAAGTCTGAAGCCTTTCGACTCTAGCATGTCCTTCCAGCTCTAACTTCCTATTTACGCCTGTCCTACTCTCGTCAACTAGCACCACATCATCAGCAAAGAGCATACGCCTAGACATATCACCTTGTATGTCCCTTGGTTCTTTTGTTAACCATAGTTAATTTTTTAAAAAAAAAATGTGTTATGGTTAGTTGTTAGTAGGAATTTAAATTTATATTAAAATAATATTTAATATAAAATAATTAAAGTTTATTTGATGGAAAAGTAGGAGAGAGAGATGATACGAAGTGATGATTAGTTAAAATTATGTGAGTGGGTGAATAGTGAAATAAAGTTGATGTGATCTATAAGGATTATAAGGATGATTGATTAATATTATTTAATTATATGAATAAAATTGAGGATAGTGGGGTTGAGTTAAGTTTGAGTTTTGATTGGTTTTTTACTTGACGAATTTATAATTTTATACCCAATCACACCCTAATTCCCCCCATTCATCTTCCTGGCCCCACAAGGTCGTATCAGGTGAGGAGCGCATGTGCATCGCCTTTGAGGAGGGGACAGGCTCTGCGAGGCGCGCCAACTTTGGCGATAGGGTCACCTCTGCGACGTGATTTCTGATTGCACTTGTTGCCCCTCGTCATGGTGGCGCCATTTAAAACTATGATAATACTATAGCTATCATCTTTCAGCACTAAGGTACGGTTGGGTGTTTGGGTAACATATCATTGTATCCTAACAGATATATCCATAAATAATTCATCATCACTCTAGAAAAGAATGAATTTTTTTTCAATGATATAACAAGTTTGTTCTTTAAAGTGATATAGTCACTCATAGTAAAGGGATGAGATTGGACTGGCATAATTCGAGAACAAACCTTATATCATAGAATATTACTTCAAAAAGTGGGATGAGTCAACCAACATACCTCTACGTCTCCGGAAGTGTATGTTAGGTCCAAATTCTGGAGCAAAAGCAGTCTTCCTTGATCATGAGCATTCTTCATTTTGTCCTCCCAATTCTAAAATATCAAAAATAAAGAATTGAATAAACTAATACTCGTAGACATATCTGTCGAGATCACCTAACCACTAAAATTATGTATCACTTATATCAATGACATTCTAGCAAGAGTAACAAGATGGATTTCAAACTGTAAGGCATGCTTTCAAAATTTGGAAAATTGTGTCCGACTCTTGTACGTTTTATTCATGACAAAGTATTGAAACACTTTGAAAAAGTATAAATGTTTCACATTTTTTGCAATCATAATGCAACAAAAAATCATGTCTTTAACTCTTATACGTTTTATTCATAACAAAATACTGTAACACTTCGAAGAAGTTTGAATGTTTCACATTTTTTTGCAATAATACTGCAACAATGATTGCTATATGAGCTTTTATATAGTAGTTAATGAGTTACAAGTCATAGTCAAAGTAATGATGGGGCATGTCTTCAAACTAGAGCCTATATTTTACACCTTGCACAAATGTACATTCAAATTTCAAGTGAAAAATGAAAATGATTCAACTCACCAGTTTCATCCACTTACTCTTTTCCTGCAAGAAAATGAAAATGACAGAAAAAGAGATAGCATCAGCTTCTACTGATTATCAAAAGCTTCTACTGATTATCAAAACAGACTGAATATTTCAAATTTGACATATTTATAACAATTAAATGCAATTCAATTAAACCATACATTAATAATGAATAACTAACTAACTAAACACTTCCAGAAATTCATTAACATAGAGAAACTAGAGGTTAAGAAACAAACATGGGTGAAGGGTAGAGAAAATATTATACTATTTCACAAACTCGATAAAAGATAATCCCCTTAAAGAGAAAAATGTGCACTATTTTTTCATTATCTATTTTGTTGAGTTTCCAAAGAATTTGGGTGCGAATGTCATTATTAGAGATGCTGCTACATCAGTATTTTGATGTCTAATACCCCCACAATTTCAATCCATCGGCATAAGGCCCAAGATAGACCTAAGAGATTAGATTTAGGTGAGACAAAGTAAATTCAGCAGTACATCAAGGGTGTGGGAATTATAGAAGAGAAGATAGCGGTCCAAGAATTTTCTTATGCCACATGAAACAATCCAAATTATGTCTTACACCACAATATCAAAACTCCAAACCCAGGGATAGCCATGCGAAATCCCTGCATATACGTTCAGCTATCTCTTTGGTGGCCCACATTCTGCATTTTCTTTTAAATAAAACTCATGCCTATCTACATGCTTTGTCTCCCTAAGTACATGATTTTCTACATCGAGAACAAATATACTTTGTATCCATCCAAATTATTCATTTCGCACCAATCTAAGATTGAGAACATACCAATAAATTGGTTTATTGGAATATGATTTAAAAAAACTTTCTAGTCCATCTAAATACATAGAGAGCCAACTTAGTGATTCACAAGTTTCAGTCATAATTGCAAACTATTTTTTGAAGAACCTTGAAACTTGTCATGCCAAGGTAGGGATCCCTTATGAATGTTGTTACCAATTTGTCAAACATCCATATTAATAAATTTGGTTGGTCCGATAATACACAGATGAGTGACAAATCAGCAATAGGGCTCCATAAATAGAACCTTATCTGGTTTCAGGTGAGGGACCAATGTGCTAAAATTCATCCTTGCTAGGGATAAAATAATAGTCAGAAAATGATCTGCCTGATAGATTTTGTATTGACGAAGGAATAAAGTAATTGTGTGAAATGATCAATTCGAGTTTGGGGTGACGATTTAATAGATTTTTTATTTTTGTTGGGACAAAGGGATAAAATAGTAAAGTTAAATGATCTGATATATAAATAATAATGTGAAACGATTTGAAAGAATTTCGTGCGGTGGGACAACTTACAAGACTTAAACTATCAAAACGAAACAAGTAATGTTACTATCTTATTGGAACACCTTAAAAAAATAAAGGTGACCTATCTTTATGGTGCAGAGTGTAACTTACACTTTCTCTTACAAAGGATTTGAAGTTTTAATTCTTTATTTAACAAGAAACTCTCGATACTTATCTAAATTAATACCTTGTTAAATACAATATTCACATCAACTTTAATCAAACGAAAATTTTATACTTTTGGATTGAAAGTTTTGAGGTTTGATTTGTTAAATTTTGAAGACTAATAAGGCGTTTCGTTTTATAAGACGTTAAAAACTTATAAGCTCATTAAAATTTATTTGAGGAAAAAAAAAACAAATAAATAAATAAACTCCACATTCCACAAGCACTCATAAACTCATAAAAATAAATGTGCTCACACCTCAACTCATTTTTTTAGCAACTTAGGAAGTTCGGATGAGATATCATTAGAACATATTGATTCACGGGAGAAAATTGTTTGAAAAAAAAAACTATATCTATATATATTGAAAGAGGTTGATTGAATAATCTAAAATATTAATTAATTTTGACTTTGTAATTAAATAGGTTGACCTGCTATTAAAGTAAATATAGTAAAAAATAATTAATATTTATAAGAATAATGAAAATTAAATTATACCTAATTATTGTAAATCATACAATTCGGTTAATAGCATGAGTTTCTATATAAATAAAGTAGTGTCAATTTCAAAATTTATTTTGTGATAATTATCACAATAAAAATTTGATTCTTCATATTAATTACGAATCACAGCAGTTTCTTATTCTTTTGGTAATCAACCATACAACATATCTTCAAAAAAAAAATCTATTATGGAAGTTTTATTACGATATTTATCACAATGTTATAATAAATATGTGGATGATAAAATTAAAAATATAATTCCAAAAAAAAATCAATTATGGAAGTTTTATTACGATATTTATCACAATGTTTAAAATTTTATTTATCAACATTAAAATAATTATCATGATGATCTTTATTCAATTGGTAACCAGCCATATACCAAAATACTTTTTTTTGTATATTAAAAATTATGCAATCGAGATGATTAGATTAGAATCCTTCGATTCATCAATAACTCAACCGATCTAGTTTTTCAAAGATTTTAAAAGTAATTTCCATAATATCAAAGAAAATTAACTATTTATTTTTAATAACAAACCAATCTTTATCCTTAATAACAAATCATGCGTTCACTATTTTGTTGGACATCTAGCCATATGTAAACCCAAATATGGATGAAAACATTACAAAATATCAGTACAAAATAAATTTAAAAATCAATTACAAAAATTTATTGATATAACTACTACAGTACAAAAAAAATGATATCTCAACATTAACAACGAAACCCTCCAATTTTCCATTCAATTGGTAATGATTCATATACCAAAAAGCATTGTCCAAGGAGTTCAACAATAGATTTACTTTTATAAATAACTGTACCGAACCTGTTTTAAAAAATTCACATTGCGATTGATAATATCATAACAAATCTCATATAAAACAATAGATTAGTAAGAAAAATTAAAATATTTATGATATACATTATTATAAATTACAAGAAAAAATAAAATAATATTGACGTAATTAAAAATTAATAGTTTTTATAACTTCAAAATAATATATAGTAATGTTTTTTTTTCCAATTTCAACTTATAATATTCGTCACAACTTTTCAACTTTATCATAACTTATTTGGAAATCAAAATAATATATTGTAATAAAGTATAATTAAAGGAGGATTGAGAAAGAAATATTTTGTACATATTATTGATATTATTGATAATATTTAAATATGTTAAATTTTCAGTATCCATAATTAGAAATAGGAAATCTAAAATTATAACTATTTTATAATAAGTGAAATAAACATATAACCGGATGCACAGTACTAGCAGGGGAGAAAAGGAACAACTTAAGAAATAATTATAAAGAAATGAGATGAAACAATGAAAATTAGAAATATGAATGTGCATAAATGACAAATATTATAGAGAAATGTGTAATAATGATTGAGTTTTATTTTAAATTTGTATTGAGCTTGATGAGGGAAAAGTGAAAAAAGTGAAATGGACGTTGTACTTTCCCAAAAAAAAAAACCTTTAAGGAGATGT